AAAAAAAAAAAAAAAAAAAAAAAAAAAAAAAAAAAAAAAAAAAAAAAAAAAAAAAAAAAAAAAAAAAAAATTAATAATAATAATAAAAATAATAAACTTACTTAAAGAACTGCTACTATTGTTTAATTGCCTATACAAAGGTTCCTCTAGAACAAATACATAATAAAAAATAATGCAAGTAAGCTACTAATTTATACTCATTAGACAACTAATAAAAACATGAAGAATTTCATAAATTGAAAATAAATATTGTATAAATTTACCTAAAATGTTGCTGTCTTGTCACTCTGAGAATAGAGAAATTAGTTAGTTAAAAAAAAAAAGAAAAAAAAAGAGTAAATAATATGTATGAACTTACCCAAACTATTATCATCATTATCCAATTGTAAGTATAAAGATTCTGAGTTTCTTTCTAGAAATTATAATCTGAAATTAATATAAAGAATATATAACAAATACTAATTTGTCAAATAGAAATCTACCTGCATCATTCAATTCTTGAAATAAAGATTCTGGAAAATCTGGAATATTAAATAATAAATAAATGAATAATTATAACTAATAATAAATAAAGCTTACTATCCATATCATCATCCAGGTTTGTATCAGAATCACATTGAATATCAATAGTATCTGGAATTTCTTCTTCATCACAAATATTCCTTTCAAACAAATCATTGACTAATACGCAGTTACCACAGGGCTTCATACCATAAACAAGTTCATAAGGAGTCTTTTTATGAGACTGATACCAAGAACTGTTTATAGTTGTAATAACTAATCGTAAGCCAAATGACCAGTCACTGCGACCAGTTTCTTCTTTCCACTTGCCGAGCTTTTGTTCTAATATCCTATTTGCTCTTTCTATAAGTCCTTAAGATTAGGAGTGTTTAGGCTGCCCATTTATAATTTTTACTGATGGCCATAATTTAATGAGCTCTTTAATAACTTCTGCACAAAACTCTTTTCCATTATCTGACTGTAAAATTACAGAAGATGATCTAATCATATGAACAAGGTCAAACAAATAGGCTGCCACTTCGATTGCTCTTTTGGAAGTAAGAGCTTTTACCTACAAAAAGTATAAAAAATGGTCACGCATATGATATATATAGTTAAATTCCCCATCCGAATTAAAAGTCATATCGATTAGATCTATCTATAAAAAAAATATATATATATATAAAATATATATATATAAAATATATATATATATATAAAAAGTATATATAAAAAAAAATATATAAAAAAAAATATATAAAAAAAAAAAAAAGAGGACATAGACAAAGTATGAACAAAACATGAAAGTTACTTGAAGGTGAGATAGAAAATTTTTTGCAATAATTGGTTTGGCAGCTAGAGGATGAAAAGTCAGCTTCTGAACAGCACAAATTGTGCAGTGATTTACAAATTGTTCGATTATATCTTGCTTTATTCAACCCTATTTATCTCTTATAGTTTTCCAAGTCTGTTTTTGACCGCCATGTTGTGTGATATGACTATGAACTTGACAGAGAATTTCATACTTATTTTCTGTAATTAATACTGGGTTATTGGTTGCTTTTACAATCACCCGATAGTCACCAGAAACTATTTCTTCGAGCTGAAATCGTTTCTTAGCCCAAACTCGCATATTCTTATTATAGAGAGAAGTGTTTTTAGGATCCATAAGAACATTTTTTATTTTATTTAACAGTTCATGGTTAATTAAAGCCTTCTTATGCTTTGCCACTAGAAGACTATTTACATAGTCTTCAAGGATCTGCTCAACAGTACTTCTACTTATGAAATTGTACTCTATTTTAAGCATTTGAAAAAAAAGTCTGAATAGTAAAATAAAAGTATAGTCACAAAAAAAAAATTATCACGAAAAAAAAAAGTATAGTCGCACAAGTACAAAAAAAGTCTGAGATCTTTTGTTACGTGATAAATAATTCTAGCTTAAAGATATATGATACTCTCTAATTAACCACAACAATGATGCAGTGCAGATATATGTTTTTTTATTGCTTTGTTAATGAGAAAAAAATCAAACTACTAATCACAACTTTTTCTTTCCTTTTATTTGTTACGCCACATATTAAATATTATCGTTATAATTTATCAATTCCTATTATAATACAAATTTGGAAATTACATTATACTCTTTTACCGATAAGTATTACAAATAAACCACTTAATTCTCCGATTTACTAACCCTGGAATTTTGGATTTACAAATTTTCTTCCAACTTCCGATTGGCTGTACTAATTATTCAAATATTGTATCTATATTATCAAAAAAAAATTTTCTAAAGTAAAAATTTGCACTATT